TACAAATAATTTTAATGAACTTAAAAATATTATTAAAAACATTAGACCTAAAATGTGATCTTTAAATTCTATAGATTCATTGTGTAATTTTTAATACACTTTTTTTTTAGTTTTTATAGTTCTCACACTATAGGCTGAATTTCCTTTACATCTTTCTGCTCCTCATTATTCCATTTTTGTAATTTAGAACTTCCAAAAATCAAAAATCCAATTCCTGTTAATGAACAAAATGCCGCAGATACAATAAATACTTTTTTCCATTGTTCTAGAGTTTGCTGAAAAAAAAACAACTTAAGCTAATAATAGTCAAATATTTATATCATTTATTTGATAAAATAAATTTTAATAAGTATGTTAACAAAACACAGCTTTATAAATAAAATATTACAATAATTGTCCCTCTAAAAAGACCTCTTATAGTGCAACAGACCTCAGCGATAAKAATATGTTTTGACAAAATGAAAGACAAGGCTCGTCATCATTAAATTACAAAACATTATAAGTGTTGCCACTTTGCCAGTTAGAGTTATATATTAGTTATTTACAATTACAATTATAAATATGTATTTCTAAACAATCTATTAATCTATATCTTATTTATATGTGAAATTAAAAAGAATTCAGAGCATAATATGATGTTATTATTAAGTACACAAATAAGCAATTTGGTCAGAGGTTTATTGATTACTTAGGTCCAGTTGTGTCCAATCATTGCCTTTAAATATTAAAAAAATAAATATTTTTGATCACTTTACTTTAAAATCTAATAATATWARGTACCTACATTAAAATAATTGTTAAAAATTGGTGTAAATATAAACTTTATTGTGTAACTTTAATAGATTATCTTAATACTGGTCAATGTATTGTAAGTCAATTAGCCCATCACAGTCCACAAACTTTGCAGTTTCATATACTATGTGATAATATTATGACTATTAATACTGTATGCCAAGTTTCATAAAAAATCGATTCATTCAAATTTGTGCCACAGAATTATGTAAAAGCATGTCTAAGGCGTTTTAGCCCATGATCATRTATATCTAAAAAATAACAATTCGAGAATGATAATATTTTCCTAGATTTCCATTATGCTTTCTAAAATGGAGTATCATCATTAAATCTCAAACAATAAATTTCCAAAAAAAAAAACTATCAGCTTTACTTAGTTTAATTATTGAGTTACCTACTTCACATTTAGCATTAACTCATGTTTTTATTAACCCACCCAAATTGTCTATGTCTACCTATATAATGTGTGAAATTTACTAATTTTTGAAATAAATTACAAAATAAAAATAAAATACCTGTTGATATGTGATCAATCCCACAATGTATGGTGAAACACTAATGCATAATATTACAATTGTTCCATTTATGCCTTGTAACACTCCCGCAAAATTTGGAGCTAGATCTACAATTCCTGGAAGTGCTCCCGAAGAAATTGCACCACTCACGACCACGGCGCATATCAAATTAAATATGACAAAGGCTTCGTTACATCCAGAATATGCAAACGTCAATATAAACAAACCATGGACTATGTTGCTGAAAACGCAAGCCAATTTGCGAACATTTGTTATGGACATTATTTTAGCTTGGATTAAATGATCACATAAACAACCAAAACTAAACGCAAATGGCCATAGGAACAAATGTGGTACACCAGACCAAATACCTGTCTAATAGTGAAAAAAATATTATTATTATTATTATATGCATATTGATTGTAATTTAAAGTCACAAATAAACAAACTTACCTGTTTCAGGTTGAAACCCAACACAAATTTGAAATAAGTTGGTGCTTGTAGGGATATTGTGTACATTCCCCAGTTATAACCAATTTGCGATATGATGTTCACCATCAAAGGCAAAGACGTCAAAATTGATTTCCAAGGTGTAGAAGACTATAAAAGCATTTAAAATATGAGATAATTATAAATATTATACATCTATATTCTATACTTCAAACGGTCATGACTTATGAATAATTAATGTAATAACAATAATTTTACACTTACGGAAACATTTTTTATAATAGAGTTGCCTAGACTGCTTTCTATGTATTTTAGTTCTTTTTCAGTTATAGTCGGGTGCACTCTTGGCGAATCATAAACAAGATAACTCCAAAATAAATTCCATACCAAACCGATTAATCCAGTAATGTAAAATACACTCTCCCAACCCAGCCAATCCATCAAGTAACCACATACCATATAAGTCACAGCCGTTCCAACAGATGTACCTTATTCACAACACACGAGATAAACTTATAAGTAACTTCCAGCATTTTTTTTKATTAAAACGCATACAATATTCTAATATAACATGATATATATACGTATTATAAATGATGGTTAAATATATTAACATTTTAAGTTAGGTTTATTTAGGAAAATAATAGCTAATACTTATGGGTAATATTTAATAAAATAAATAACACTTTACTACCACAATTTATTATTTTATTGTGGTGTATTTTTCTTTAGTTAAACACTATGTACTAGTATATATGTATATAGGTAAGCAGATGTACGAATTTTAACTAATGAACTAGGCACGTAACTACGTAGTAAGTACCTACCAACCTACCTATATTACATATTATATACTGCTATACATTTGGTTATTAATAGGTTATTAATAATTGATATAAAATCTAATAATGATACAAC